AGAGTGTGGCATTACGGAGCAGACATCCCTAACCATTCCCTATGACACAGAAGACCTGCAGGTAGTGCAAACACAAAATGTTGTATCTCAACACACAAAGAAGGCCAGCGATGAGGGGTGGGCTGAGAACACTGCATTTTCCTCAGCCTTAAGAGGTTGCTGTTTTCAGTTAGGCATAGAGAAATGTATTGAGAAGAGGGAGTCAGACTCCTGACACTGTTGACAAGCAAAGGATGCAAGAGCAAGTGAAATTTCATACAGACATAAAGAAGAACTATTTTACCATATTACTAATATCTGAAAAGAGGATGTGATATCTCCATCCTTAGCGATGATCAAAATATCACTGAACAAGTATACAACCTGATCTAGCTGGACTCACTTTGAAGATGCTGGACTAGATGACCTACAGAAGTCCCTTCTAATCAAAACAGTTTTACGATTCTGCCAAGTACACATCTGGCCTCACATTTTTGTAATGCAGCTGTGTTCTGTCTCAACCTGAAAGGGGAGCTTCATCAAGAAAACCTAAGGGTTGTAAGTTCACATACCTGCTGACATTGCCATAGTAGTCCCAGCCACCATCCCCATAGTCACACCGTTTCCTCTTGGTGGCGGAATTGGAGCAGGATACATAGTTGCTGGCATGCCGTTAGGCTGCACGACTGTGGTGTGGTGAATTACGTGGGGTGGTGCTGCATATAAAGGCTGTGTGTAGTAAGTGCCTTGCTGTTAGAGAAAAAAGTAAATTAAGTAATTATAGTATATCTGGTAGGGAAGATAAATGATGTCATCTTTCATGAGCGTATCATAAGATAGAACCATCGTTCTAAAGATGCAGTGTATTTACAGAACAGAGGCTAAAACATTCACTTCAACTATTCCAGTTGCGTTTCACTGGTAAACTTTAACATTTAGCCCCTTTTTAAGGCATTTAGGATAACATTGAAAAGCAGGGACCTTTGTCGAACTCCAATGCTGACCGCACTTTCAGCAATAAGGGCTCAGTCGTCATTCATTCCCTTCGTTTCGTATCTTTTCATACATTAATCCATAACAGACCTTCTCTCCTTCTTTCACAACTTTTTATTCAGCTGTTTTTAGTTAAAGAACCAAGGGTTTTTGACAAATCCAAATACACTAAGCAGATTGGATAAACCTTGTTAAGTGCTTAATAATTCCCTTCAACTACTGCATATACGCCAGGCAAGTTTCCTCTGCACAAAATTTTCCCCAAAATATCATGTTTACTGACGTGTCTTAATTCTATCCTTTCTAATAGTTTTCAACAGTTTGCCTAGTATGAGACTTGGTAACTCCCTGAATCACAACAGAGGCTTCCTACAAAAAAAGAATTAGTGCAAGTTTATGACAATTTTTGACAAAATTAAGTCAGAATATGGTAGTTACAGCATCTAGCATGCATTTTTAAAACTACTGAATCTAGTGTCTCTTCATAGACTGAACACATTATCAGTAAGTGCAGAGTAACTGTCATGTGAGAGAGAATGTAAAAGTGCACACACACATACACACTCTGTAAATCACTGTATTAAGAATTTTAAAAATTCTCTCCATCCATCAAGAAGTAAATGTGACGTAAAGTTAAGAGTTCAAGCAGATATTACAAGGTAAACAAAAGAGTATCCAAACTCTTTTTTGGTTTTGTTCATTTACCTGTGCATATGGATTCTGCTGTGGATAGGCACTTCGAACTGGGTACACAGCAGTCTGATAGGGATTCGGTGAGGAAGAATACGGTGGCACTGCACCACTAGTGGGTGAACAAGATACTTTATACGGGGTGCCTGGCGTATAACCTGAAACAAAGGTAAATCTGCATTAAAAACATGAAAAACAAGTGTCAGTACACTGCTTTCTAGAGTGAGAGGTAACAATTTTCTTAATTTCCAAATTCCTTAATCTTCATATGAGTACTTAGTAGGCTAGCCTGAATATTCAAGCACAAGTTCTATCATTTACATAATACTGGCAACAATCTGGAAACGATACTTGACTGTGTCAACTAAGCATGAAAAGTTAACTGTGTTTTTGCACAATTTGCTTTTCAAATCTATGGATATGGGATAAAAAAGTGGATTTGGATTTTTGTAGTAGTATCATTAAACACTTGGATTTGGCATATTAGGCAGCATTCCTATATAGTAGAATTTGGTACATGTTAGTACCAGCCCAGTTCTCAAGGCACCCCAAATTGTACTGGCAAAACTTAGCAACAGTTAACTAACTCGCAGTTACTTTCTGTAGACGATGATACAGTGCAACAATAACTTAATTTCAAAAGTAGGAATCACGTCAAGAGCTCAAGATGGATTTTCAGAGAACACAGAGACACAATCTGCAACCTCCACTTCAACTTACATTTATTCACGTATTTGTTTTCTGGCATTTTCTGAACTGACTAAAATAAACATGAAAGGCCACACCTTTAAAACACAAACACTGTAGAGTTCATTGCAACTGCAAATTGGACTTCGAAGGCACTTTAAGATCTTTAAATCTCCTTTTTGTGTATTACATACATAGACATACCCTTAATCATCACTTAAGAATTATTTTTATACCTTACAATAAGACTTCAGATGCCATCAGAAAGAATTTTGCATTCCTACTACAAGGTCCCCAAAATCACCTTGTAAATGGTGGGAACTGTTCAGCTTTTACAGGGATAAGTAGCACGTGCTGGCTCAAACCCTGCCTAAAGACAGTTCTTCCATAATTTCTCCAGCCCTCATCAGACAAGGTCTCAGGATAACAGAACAATGGCTTGCTAAGGCATGGAGGAGATCTATGAAAAGCACTGTTGCTGCTGCATGCTACACTCCCAAGATTATGCTACGGCTTAATAGCCAGAGTGGGAATACAAATACCTCAGCAGCAGCATCCACCAGTAATGACATTTAGGGTACTAAACAACAGGCATGACCTATTCTGGAGAAAGCATCAAAGCCCTAGCCTGTGCTATGCTGAAAAAATCTTAGGTCTCACGCAGGTCCACCACACTAGGAGACGAAACATCCACAAATACGATTTCTATCTAGTTGGAATTGTACAAACTAGTACTAGGGCAACACAAGGAAGAAAAAATACTTGGCAATTATAGGAAAAAATTAAGACTTTCAGAACGGAGATTAGGTTGATTTTAAATGCTAACTTCAATACAGAGAACAGATCCGAAGACACAGAGCAGAGAGAACACTGGCATCTGTGTTGTGAAAAATCAGTTTGTGCAGACAGCTTGATGACAGATGACCTTCATTTTTTGCAGAAGTCTGAGTTTCTTTCCAATTTCATCCCACCTTTCAAACTGAACATTGCTATGTTAATGAAGAAATAGGTTTACTATGTTTTTCCTCTTTTTCTTTTTTCAATAGAATTTTTCACCTTTAGAGACACTAAAGACAGCTACCACAGCACTTATGCTGAACTCTTTGTTTTTAGAGATCCTAAGTATTTGAAGAATAGAGCATGCTGAGAAAGTAACTTCTATTTCTAGTATGGGGAGCTATTTGTGTTGAAAAACTCAGCTACAAAATGCTGAACACAAAGCATCACTACCAAACTACAACTATGTCCCCAGTGAAGCCCACTGCCATTCTAAAACCCCGCTGATACAGCTGCACAGGCAATTTAACTTTCATTCTTGCAAAGTGGTACATCTGTACAAGAGTTATTCTGCCTTCTCATTTAATTTTTTTTCTCCCTACAGGAAGCAAGGACCTTAAAAGTAAACCATAGTTATTCAAAACCACAGAAATTTAAGAAAGATACCCATAAAAAGGTACCCTTTCTGAACAGCAGTGGCACAGCACATTCAAATACTGCTGTGTGATGTGAATTCACAAAAGCTTTGATTCTACAAACAAGCAATTACATCAGAAAAGTTAAAAAAAATTCCAGCTGTTAGGACAAAAGTACTTCAAGTTGTTATCTGCCTGAATTAGAAGATGTGGACATTGAGTTTTAGTTCATTGCTTAAGAGTAGCTAAAAATTAAAGCTATTTCTGAAATAAAAGCTTATTTTCTATTTAACAGCAATACTTTAATAGTACTAGCTTTAAAAAAAATTAAGGACATTTGAAGACGGTATATGACTACTACACATCTTTATTCCTTTTTCACATAGAAGTGAAAAATTCTTACTCTAACTTTGTTATATAGCATGAGACCTGTTACATAGCGACCTCATCGCGGTCTACAGCTTCCTCACAAGGGGAAGAGGAGGGGCAGGCGCTGATCTTTTCTCACTGGTGACCAACGACAGGACCTGAGGGAACGGCAGGAAGATATGCCAGGGAGGTTTAGGTTGGATATTAGGAAAAGGTTCTTCACCCAAAGGGTGGTGGAGCACTGGAACAGGCTCCCCTGGGAGGCAGTCATGGCGCCAAGCCTGACAATATTCAAGAACCATTTGGACAACGCCCTCAGACATATGGTATGAATTTTGGGGTTGTCCTATGCAGGGACAGGAGTTGGACTCGATGATCCTTGTGGGTCCCTTCCAACTCAGGACATTCTATGATTCTATGAGATATATTCCAAGATTAATCAGTGCAAACCAATCTTACAACACGATTAAGTCTAACAAGTCAAGAGTCTTCCCCAGAAACCGTAACCTTCTATTACAACATAACTGACATGGAGAAAAAAAAACATGGATAAAAGCATTAGTCTCATGATTTGGTAAACTGATGACATGCAGCTTATCTTCATCTTCCTGCAGTAGGATTTGCAAACTGCAACCAGTAATAAGACTGGAGCTACCTTTCAGTTATCCAATCCTAGGATCAAAAATTACAGCTACTCCTCAGCACAGCTGCAGGAATCCTGATGATATATACAATGGAGCACAGAAGGCAGAAGAGACACATCACTAAGGTAATCTCAACCATGAAATTGAACAGCCTATTAGTAATACAAGCCGATAATAAAAGCCCATATAGCATTTTGATTCCCATGCTAAGTTATACCCCTGATGGGAACTGCTCTCCCTTGAACATTACTCTCAAAAAAGTTCTTAAGCAATCCAGTGCAAATGCAAGCTGGTACCCCTAGATATGACACTTGAACAGAGGCAATACTCTATCCAAAGGATAGTGGGGGTTTTTTTGTTTGTTTTTGGTTTTTTGTGGTTTTGGGTTGTGTTGTTTTCACCCCCCCCCCCCCCATTACTGGAACTTAAAATATCCATCTGTTTCCCTACCTTCAATTCAAGAACAAAAGACAAGCCAAAATCAATTCTGCACTTGCTATGCCTCTAAGCAGCAAACTGAACAGAGACACAGATTGTACCAACTAGAATACTCCACAGTTCCAAGGAAAGCTACACAGCTACACACTTTTAACAGGTTCTGCAAGGAAACCTTTTAGATTACTTTCTTTTGCCTCAGTAATTGCTGCCACACCCTTTTAAGAGTCTCCTGGTAGTTAATGAAATGCCAGACATTACAAAAATTGAACTTCGATATCGCAAGCAGGCTTCCACAACATAACTTCCCAATTTCAAGCAGCATCCTTTCCTATCCCCCCAAGTTACACAAGGACATTCAGGGACAAATTTGGTTATGTGCCATGTGTCTCTGAAAAACTGGCATAATACACGCAAGTGAAAGAGCTCCTGAAGATGGCCCAGATCTACATTAACAAAGCAATGTAAGGAATTCCTTAGGATGCAATATAACCACAGGGAGAATGCTGTTCTATCAGATGTATGTTCCTGGTTTAAATGAAAATCAAATGCTAACAGCTTCTGTTTTGTTTCAAGCATTAGCACTTCAAAAATCATCTTCTATTAGTAAAAACAGAACTACATAAAAACAACTTAGGTGAACGCTTTGGTTTCTCTTGTGTGTGTTTTTCCATCTCCCTTTTCCTAGTCGCATCACCTTCCCTTTCTCTTAAATGACAAGCATGCAAGTGTAGTTACCTAAATCCTCCCCCAACATGCACTATGCACAAAACAGTTCTACCCAGCAACCAGGCTTTCTAGACGATTAGTTCATGAAAGACAATTTTAAGGGTAGAAAAAAGGCAGCAAGCTTAACTTGGAAAGAGATATTGTTTAAGAAAAGGATGAAAAAGAACAATTTCAGAGAGAACAGACAGAATAAAAAACAGGAATCTGGAAACAACCAGTAGGATACAAAGCTAGCAGAATCAAGAAGGAAGCAGTGAAAGGAAACACGATGCAACCCCCAAGTATCAGCCTGAAATACAGTAGCAAGAGATAAAAACTCAGCTCTTCTCTTCTCTGAAGGTGAAAGCAGTACGACTTAAGACAAGATTATACTCATTTTAATTTACAAGATGATTCCTTATGAGTCATATTCAAAGTAATGTAAAACCTATCCCACAGTGTAAGTGTTATTGTAAGCCCCTACAGCTTTTCCTTTCTTGGTTCTAACAACTTCCAAACTTCAGGTTACTGCTTTGACATACCTATTACACATACCTGTTTGGAAGGTAGGATTTGCTCCAGGATACATATTAGGGGAATAGGCAGGAGCAGCTGCTGCATAGCCCATTGGGAAGCCAGCTAGAAGAAAGAATACGTCAAAGTTATTTTCTAGACTGACTGCAGAGTCTTAACTAGACTTTACCCTCAAAGATTCTTGCTGTACATCTTTTAATTGAAATGAGCCAATAGATGGCTTTCAATCGCACCTCCAACTAAAACACTGGACTCTTCTCCCAAGCCACATGAAGCTGAATGCTAGATGAAGGGAACAGCTAAGGAGTCACAAGTGCCATTCTCCCTTACATCCCTGTTTCAGCAAATCTCAAAGTTGGCCAAGTAACTTTTAAGTTAGTTGGACAACAGAGTTTTGTGCAACTATCCAACCCTCCCCACCTCCCCACCCCCCCCACTGAGTTTTAAGACCTGAGTGACTCCGACTCTCCAGATCAGAGATATCACAAGTAGAGAGTACAAACCCTTAGATAGTCCAATGCTTGTTGCATTTGACACAGATTTGTTATTACACTCAGGTATCAAACAAGCTCACCAGTTTCAGGCATGTACTATGACAATTAACAGTAACAAGCGATTCACTGAGGTATCAACAAAATGATAGGTAAACACTTCTACACCAGCATACAAGAACCATTATGGCTGAACTAACATCACAATATACAGCAATATGGAGGCAACATGGCCTCCAACATAAGGCAAAAAACAGCATTAGCAAAAGCTACAGTTACTCAAAAGAAACAAAGTTTGTTTAGATTGCAGTAAGTGAAGTTGCTGAATTAATCACAGCTATTAATTTTTCCAGGAACTTATTTACATTATTCCAAACTGTAAAACTCTGTAAGGTCTATATTTAGAAAGACAGTTACTAGCACATTTTGTTATCAACATATAAAGATTTCACCTTCTCCAGATAAAAGGCAATTACTATTTGCATATTCACTGTCAGGCTTAAAGCTGCTAGTTTTAAACTGCTATTCAAATTTGAAGGGCTTTTATTTTGCTATAAATCCCAGAGTCCTTAGCAATTACTCCTAACAATAAAAATTCCTTAGCTCAGGACTATATATGCTAACCTAGTTTTGTAAAGCACTCTGTAAACATATCAAGTGACATACACTTGGCACTACTATTAGGTGGTCAGCATGGATAAGACTAAGAAAAGCATTAGGCTGAAAAATCAAAGGTAAAAATAACATATCCAATTCATAACAACTTTTTGGAGTATAAATAGCTCTTAAGATTTCAAATTCACAAGCTGCTAGTGAAAAGCTTTAGTACGGCTTTACACATTACTCAAACTGACTACACATCTGCAACATTACTTATGTTGTATACATTTTCAGTCCTCTGTTCTTTCTTCACAGGTTTAGCTCCACAGCAGAGCACTCCGAGCAGCTCAAGAAACAAGTTGTTTGTGAAAAATGTAGAACTTTCATCCATGTGAGAACATTTGGATAGTGATTCCTTGCTACTGTAAACCCATACAACAACCTCAAATAGGTGTAGTATAATATAAACAGCTATTAAATATGCAACAGCTTTAGAAACACAGTGCCTTTAAATAACACATTCCACCTAGCAATATGTTCGTTACCTTCTATTACCATGCAACCCATGTAAATTCAATGATTCTGAATGGAGAATCTGTAGCTTTTAAATTAGGAGAGGCAAAGAAGGGAGAGTCTTCTAACAACTTAAAAAAAAAATCCTACAATGCAAGTCTACTTTTCATTTTAGAGAATGTGTTTTGTGTTTATCCCACCACCTTCAAGCATGAACCAGGCAGCTCAGCAAACTATCTGTAACAGTGTAACACTGTGGAACTTATTGACTAAGCTGAATTTAAGGGTCACAGTTGTGTAAACTGACTGCTGTAAGGAAGAATTTTGAGTGATCAACTTGTAGCATAACATTTAAGGCACTTCTATAACAATTCTACTTCAATTGCATATATTTTAGTTTTACTAATTTACAACCAAGTGAAGACTGGCAAATGTACAGTACTTACATAATTCAATATGTAGTCTAATATGTATAACAGTAGAATAAAAGACTGGAAGTTGTAATGTTATTTAAATTGCTATTTATGAATCTATAACAGTATATCTTCCTAAGTAAATTAAGGTACCACTTAGATTAGTATAAACAGGCACTTCAATGCAATGTGTAAATGGTTCTAAGTACAAATGAAACCCTGGTTAATCCAAATCTGTGTTTAGAAAATGAATAGAGATAAAAATCCAAAGTTATATTTGAATAATTCATAATAATTTTTACCTAAAGCAAAACAAAGCCTTGAAAAAGCAATCTATTATGAATACAGAAACAACTGTACTCTTACTGATATTAATTAGTAAACCACTGCTCTTGCCTTATTATAAAGTTACTGTAGTCCATATAACCAAGACAGTTACAGAGAATAAAACCATCCTGCGGGACTTATGGTTACACAGCATCAGCTTTACAATTTATTACTGCACCATTTCAGTCACTCAGTAAGACTTAAAAACACTGCAACACAGTTTGTGTTTTCCCCTTATAAATACTAGAATAATAGAAATCAAGAAAGGTACACTAGTTTGAGGAAAAAATTAGAAGTACCTGAAAAGCAAAAATAGAAATTAAAAGGTTTTTGAGACGATCAAGTCAACAGTAAAGAAAATTCATTTATGCACCAGTATTTAGAAGAAGGAACAGAGAAAAGTGGAACAGGAAAACAGGAACTCCAGTACACTACCTAAGCTGAAAAACAAATTTTAAAACTGTAAATACCAGTAAGAAAATATAGTACAGCTACAAAGAATATAAACAGTAACAGCGCAGAATGATTTCTAGCTCCCAGCACAGACACCAACTAAATCAGAGAACAGCCTCCCTATAAAAGCTTCAGAAGTTTAATTGGTTACGATACATAAAATCTGAGCTGAAAGACCCTCCAGCCTCTCCCAGGATGGAATAATTCCCTTACCCCACAGATAGCGGGGAAAAAAGACCGCATCAAGACATACTGCTTGAAATGCCTCACAGAGGCACACTGCCCTTCTCTTCAGCCTTCCTGGAAAGTTCTGGCCAAATCTAATTATTGCCTTATCCAACTTCTGAACTACGGGGACATCGGAAATGAAGCCTGCTCACACATGTTAGGAGATGAGGGGGAAAAAAACCCTCGTGAGAAACTTGAAGCAGAGAAAGCAAGAAATGCATTTAATTTATGTTTTAAAAACATTTCTTGGTCCCGCCTTTGATGCTATGCTTCAGGCAGTCATAAAACAGATAGCACGAACAAGAATTAGAGGACAGAAAGGTTAACAGCGCCAGCCAACTAGCAGCAGAAATAGACTGACTCCTCTTCTTGCAGGGTGTAATTATTAGAGCTCCTAAAATAAGCTGCTTTGGAAGAGATACTGACATTAGAAATATAACAGAAGACTAACATCACTTTTGAAATGACACTTTTTAAATTTAAAAAACCCCACCCAAATCCCAAAACAGATTACAATACATGAAGCCATTAATAAGTGACTATTTCTTCTTGATGACAAACATCAGTGTAGCTGAAACTCATTAAAACACAGTTACTTACCTGGATAACCAATTCCTTTGGCATTTGCATAGGGAACCCCAGAAGATCCAGGGCTATACACAGGATTCATGATTTCAGTAACTGAATCAGGAAAAAAAAAAAAAAAAAGAAAAAAGTATTTACTCAAGTATAGGGAAAGCTTGAAATCTCAGCAACTGAAATAGAACTGGAAATGGGGGAAAGCATGTCAGAAGAAAAAGTAACAGAGGAAAAAGGAGCAATTTCACTACTCGTCAACATTCCAACTATAGCTACAAGCAAGAGAGAGTCACTGCAGAAGTAAGTTTCAAAGCATCTCAACCCTCATTCGGCTAGAGAATGTCTCGGGAATGAAACATTCCCTATTGTGGAGCATGCTTTCAAAATGTTTCCATCCCTAAGAGCTCCCCCATGGCACGCAAATCCATAACCCACTGCAGGAGTTCACATGCATTGGACTTCTCTCCCCATGTCATCTGTCAATCACTTATCTATCTACCATCTATCAATCTTAGTTTCTTCCTATTTCTTTCTTGAAGCAACTAGCCAAGGGATGCAAATACCTGTGGTCTATTACTACTGGCATTTCAAGACTGGGATTCCAGTCCTCTACCAGCACTAAATTCACCTACCATCAACGGCCCAAGTATTACAGAAGTAAGTGGCAAAAGACTTTCTGTATTAGACAGCTAGCTCACATTTATTTACTTGTTTACTTGCTGCTAACTTCTTCAGAGCCTATGAGAAGCTGACAGTTGGGTCCAGTCATTTCTGAACTGTGTATTCACACACCAAAAAGGCACCTACCATCACAGGCAGGAATAAAACCAAATCTCCTGTTTTAAAAAGGATCTTGTACATAAACCAAGGAAAATGCAATTGCATTGAAGATGCCTCTCAAATTTTTCTAGTACACCTATGTATTTCTAGGAATATAAATCACTGCAGCACAGCTCACAAGCAAGCCCACCATGTGCCTCTTACAAGAGTACCTTTTGCAACTAGTTTTCTAACATCTTAGGAAAAAATCCTCGCATTTTAACCCTAATATCTTCAATCATCTGATTTTCTGCATATATTTACAGATTTACCACTTCTCTTCCTGCAAGTACCTGCTTTTCACTACAAATAGCCTCCGATGGCAAGACAGGAGGGCACACTATGAAAGCAGATTTTCTTATTAACTGTCAATATCTGATACTTGAGTCACTTCCTCTTCTACATCTTGAGATGCTGTCTTACTTAAACGAACAGTGTGCTAAGCTGTTTAACACAGTTTAACAGAATTTTGTAAATAAAGTTTACGAAGCAAGAGTCACTATTATGCATGCACTACTTTAGTTACAGAGCACGTTATGGCAGGAATCTAAGTTTATCAGTATAGCTGCTCTGATAAACCTATGTTAAGTGACTGTATAAAGCATAAGTAGTTTGCTTTTAAAGGAACACTAAAAACACCTCTGTGGCAAGTTTCAGCAACACCTACTACACAACAGAAGCAAAAAAAAACATTTGTGCAAAATTAGGAAATCAGAAAGTAAATGCTGTCAGAAAGTTTATCATCACGTTTCACAAAACACTCAAACCGGCTGTAAGAGAATTGCAAGATTCACCAGTTTCTTGGACTTCCCCCCCCATACTTAGCAATAATACTAACTTAAATAGAATTGCTTTTATTTTTTCCACTTTCATACTTGATTACACATCAAGACAACAGAATCCATTAAGAATGAATCTAACAAACAACCTGCCATTTACATTGCTTAGTATGAAGAAAGTTCCCCAGAGCAGCATGTTTTAATCTTTTAATCACCTGACCAACATCAAAAAGCAGCTTGACACAAATCTCTCTGGAAATGTTCTACAGCAAACTAGTCGTCTTCAAGCATAAAGCATTATTTTCCACTGAAGCCCTGTGGAGTTTTAATAGCATTAACTCTGCTGCACCATAACCAAGAGGCATATTTTGCTGGACTAATATTTCACTGTAGCAAGACTGTTCTCTTTTCCCATACTTTCTTCTGTGTATCCTCCTTTCTAAATAAGGACTCTCATTTAGTTGAAAACTTTCAGCCTGTTCCCTTAATATTTCCCTGCATTTCCTTCTCATTTGCATCTCTCCTCCTCTTTCAATGTTGGTTTTGTCACATTTTGTCTCTGAACTTACAAAACCTGTAAGAGGTTCAAGCTTCACTTCAGTCTCAGCATGTCCGAGTTGTGGGTAAAAGTCTTAAGGGATGTGGATATACCCTTCCACCCAAATATAAACAGGAGTCTCCCACACCCCCATATCCCTACAAATACGCTGCTCCTCCTTGCAGTCTCCACAGCAATTAGGAGGAAAGAAGACCCTATAACCCTCTCACCATTCTGAATGGCAATGAGAAGAGAGAGAGAGGACTGGAAAACCAGCAAGAGCATTCTGCAAATATTTGGGTAAAATATAAAAAAAACCTCCCAACTATTAGAAGTCTTAGGAATCAATGACTGCAGAAAAACACAAGGATGTACATTCTGAGGGATGACTTAACCAGAAGCCAGACAAAGCTGAAAAGGTACAGAAAGTGAACAGAAAAGGTCAGGCAATCCATCAGACTTGATCTCAGAGGAAGTGCAGATTAAGAGAAAGGAATTCACTTAAGTAAGGAGGAAAAAAAACTATGGCACTGGGAGGCTGCAAGCTGCCTCTTACTGGAAGCAATGTCAACTTCCACTTCAAATGCATCCATACTTCGAAATTCGTGTGTGCACACACACACATTAATTCAACTTTGGTTGAACAGGTATGTACTTTCACCACTTCTACTTTCACACTCTAGCTTTCGCCACTGAAATACAAGTAGAGATCCACCACCCTACAAACAGTGCTTACAGTTTTTGTAATGCAGGGAAAACTTCAGATCACTTCTAATTAAAAATAATTATTTTCAGGTCTTCTCTGAAGGACCTAACATGTGTAAGTATAATTATATAGTATTACCCAATGGTTGCAATCATCCCGGTCTTTACCATAAATTTACTTGGAAGGGCATCTGTTACATTGAAATATGGAAGATTGCAGTCCACTTCCCTGTAACGCTTAAAGTCCACATCAAACGCTAGGGAAACTAGTATAAAGTGAACCCAAAGAATCGTGGCTTTCAACCTTTCTGTTGGCATCCCCTCCAAAGCATTCTCATGTTAATGTATATGCAAATAAGTGTCTACTGTGCATCATCTGTATATAAATTGCACAGAGCCAACTGTATATAAATTACAGTCAACTAATTCTTTCAGCTGAAATGAAGGTAATCATACTTATTAAAGATGCTCCAATTAAAGACTATGCAAGCATGCTTGGGAAGCGCTAATGCTTCACCTTTCATTCTTGCCAAAGCCAAACAATCAAACTCAGTTTTGATCAACCCTGTTAAATTTCATCTTGGGACAGATACCAGGACAACCATCCTCCTCTTAAATCCACATTTCAGGAAGCTGAGCACAAAGGCCAACCACTGTTAATGCCGAAGCTCCAGCACTCCGAATTAGATACGCTTTTGCACGTAGCCTTTCCTGCTACACTCAGAATGAGCACATTTCTAGGAAATTGTGCTTTTAAAAATCATTTTACAGAGATACGTGCAAAAAACCACAGATCAATGCAAATACTGTAAAACAAACTGCACACTCCTTTGTAACAGATATATTTTCTCATTTATTTTCAATGTTGTACAGAAACACTATCGGAACAAGATCTCCTGGATGTCATTTTTGCTCATTTTATGACAATTCTATCTCAAGAGTTGGGGAAGAATCTCTCTTAACTAAGTATCCTGCCTAAAGCACGCTATTGTGGTCTACTAATGCTTTCATTCTTGGAACTTAAGCAGACCCACACTAAGTCATTATAGTGTTTAACATCTATCCATCCTGGAATACTTTTAGAATGCTGTTTGCTATGCAACTGTACAAAGGACCTAGTTTCCGCTTACATACAATTCCTTAACAAAGTTAATTGCCATCTTAGTAATGTTCTACATTTTACCCATTTGACTTCCAGTCAAAGCTTAATAGAAGTAAAATGCAATTCCTAAAAGTCTGGTAGTTTGTAACGTAAAAAAAGTCATTTCCGCTGCTAAGTAACAAAGAAAATAGTTCAGGACACTTCTGCTCTTCAAATAACTGACAATGATTAAAGTCTCAGTTGTATTACATTCTATTAAAACTTCAGCCACCAAATAGGCCCTTTGATGCAAATCCTAGGCCAAGTAACAGGAACTTTTGTCACAACTACTTTTAAAAAAAGGGGGCTTGTATCAGCAGGCCTTCAAGACTTTGAAAAGTCTAAAACAATGCTTCCCGCACTACACTGGTATTTGCAGGTAGCGCATGCTTCATTTCTTCCCATCATCTAAGACCTCAAAAAAGGTCGCTGAATTTTACCAGGAAGCAAGTGCTACCCCTGTTCAAAACAGGGCATGGGCTTATGGTAGTCCATGATCGAAGCCAGCTGGAATCAATGCTTACACAGAACTGCCATGCTTCTGGCAAGCAATCCGACTCCCAGCACTGGCACGCTAACCCCTCAGTAAGTTACATCAGCTAAGTCGGTTGGCAGAATTCTGGGGTTTGCTGGAGTTTTTTGGGCAGAGGGTTGCTATGTTTTCTTCCTACCACCTTGAGAGAGCTGAGACACATCACCAAATGGCTAAGACAGCACCCATTCCAATGCAAGGAAGGGAGCAGGACTGGATAGTGAAGTTGATTGAAGCTGTAGAACCATAGCCTAGAAAAGGACAAGTAATAACTTTGCCTGAAGTTCACACATAAAGTAAAATACAAAGCTGGAAACATCATTCACATGCAAGTCTTCCTCCCCTGCTCAAGTTACAAGATGTTCTTGTCATAAAAGAATGAGACACCTGCAATCACCCTTCAATGTTTTGTGTGCATGCAATTTTTTTTTTTTTAAGACTACAAACAAATAGAGCAGTTTAGACTTTCTAATCCTTTCTAATGAATACAATTCTCACTGTAAGCCTATTCTACTAGTGGTTTGTTGTTACGTTTTTTTTTTTTGGTTGAACAACAGATTTGAGATACACACACGTTAACAT